ATTTTTTTTAAAGTCATCTGAATACGTGATGTTCAGAATTCCAAAGAAAAAGCAGTTAGTTTTCTATGGAATAATTGGGAACAGTTTTAGTAAGGCAGATAATATATGAGATAAGATGAAAGTCTTGGTAGGAAGGAAGCAGAATGTGGCAAAAAGACAGATTTCACAATGAATGGAGAAATGAGAAAAGTTCATGGATATTTGGAAAACATTCCAGTGGGCATAGATCACAGAAAAAGAAGTGGGCGGTAGTTTATAGAAGAAAGTTAGATTGAATTACAGAGATTAGGTAGTCTTGATAGATATACTATGGGTTTGGATTAATTCATAGGCAAAACTTATTTAATCAAATTTTAAAGTAAGGCAGTCACAAAGTCAAATATTCTTTTAGTAAACAATTATAAAGGCTAAATATAGATTTGCATACAAAGGCAACAGTTTCAAAGAAGGGAAAATGATCAAAAATGTGTATCAGTAACTTAAACATGGAATTATAACAGTGTGAAACATGGACTGAAAATAGTGTTAGGTATACAATTGAAACTTGTGATTAGTGATTAGATCTGAGATTGGGAACAATACCTAAGAGCAAAGGTGTAGTTTTGTACAAAGATGTAAAGATATACACCAAAGGGCTCTAGTATCATTAGGTAAAATATGATACACACAATTAGCAGCAGGTTCAGGAATCAATATGACCTATCAGATTCTTTTTTTCCCCTGAAGTGACGGCTTTAATAAGAGAACTGTATGGAAATGTTTATATGCCCCTTGGATATTCAGATTTAGGCAGATGATAAAGTTTCAAGATATAAAGTAGGTAATCATTCATCCTCTACTCATCTGTCTATCCTTTTACATTCATAATTAGTATACTTTAATGTAATTTTTCATAAACACACTCAGTAAACAATTTGTACCTCCTATACCCAGGTTATTTCAGGAGAGCTGTAACTCATAATGGGTACTCACATTGCACAAACTTTTATATTAATAGATGAATTTTTGGGAAGAGAACAATTTTTTCCATCTTGCATTACTTATTTGACTTTGTGATGGACTACGGTTCATTGAATGGTATGTGTCTGTGCACATGTATGTGTGTTTAGGTGTGAAAAGTGGGAGTAGAAGAGTACATATGATATTATAGAATGGGACATCATCTAGAGAGCCAAGAAACATCTTAATCTGTATGTCTAATAAATATTGATTCATTATTTCCTGTAATAGTATCTCTCAATAGAGGTTGGAATGTAATTATAACTTGACTAGGGGGTAAAAAGAATAGACAGAATCTTGACTTAAATTTCAAATATCAATGCACATTTTTTATGAAAGCAGAAATAAAGAGCTATCCTGGGAACACTAGTTACTTTGCAACTTCCTAAAGAGATTTTGCTCACATACCTACACCCTAAGTAAAAGATGGTCTCTCTTCTCAGTCCCTATTGATTGCTAAGAGCATTGTCACCATATTTATCTATTGCTGTCTTTTCCTTCTCAGTACTGTTTCCATTCAAAATCCCTAAACTCCACATTTTATTGAAGACTTGGAACATGTTATATAATTTTCTTTATTACTTAAAAAAATCAATCAATATGCTGGTAAAGATGTAACCCAATATTTGGTTCTCTCATTTCCATACTGTCCTCTATGCTGTTTTTCCTCAATTTATTTTTTCCTTTTGCTAAGGTTGAGACCTTGTGTTATCCAAATGACTTGTTTTTTTAAATAACTTTTATTTATTTATTTATTTATTTATTTACTTATTTACTTATTTATCATTATTAAAGTTATTTTGATGACAATGGTTAGTCAAGTTACATAGGTTTCAAGTGTACAATTCTGTAATACATCATCTATATATCACATTGTGTGTTTACCACCGAGAGTCAGTTCTCCTTCCATCACCATATATTTGATCCCCTTTACCCTCATCTACCACCCCCTCCCCCACTTATCCTCTAGTAACCACTAAACTATTGTCTGTGTCTAACGGTTTTTGTTTCTATCTTTGTTTGTCTTGTTCTTATGTTGCTTTCAGTTTTATATCCCACATATCAGTGAAATCATATGGTTCTTGATTTTTTCTGTCTTCTTTTGCTTAGCATAACAGCCTCAGGATCCATCCATATTGTCAAAAATGGCACTATTTCATCTTTTCTTATGGCAGAATAGTATTCCATGATGTACAATTACTGTTCACATAGAATATTATATTAGTTTAAGGTGTACAACATAGTGATTAGACATTTATATAACTTACAAAGTGATCACCCTGATAATTCTAGTACCCATCTGACACCATATACAGTTATTATAATATTATTGACTATATTCCAATGACTTCTAACAATCTCCACCTAAATATTGCTTTGGCTCCTTGAAGTGAATTAATCTAAAAGGGAGTGCAACATATTCATCCTAGAAAGTTGTTCCTCCAGTTGGTTCCTACTTCAGTAAAAGCTATCAATATCCAAATAAACACAATAGATAGGAATCCAGGAATCTACCTTAACTCCTCCTCTTCCCTGAACACTTAACCCCTTTCACTTACCAAACCTTTGAATTGACCTCAAAATGTGTTGTGAAAGTATCTTTATCTCTCTACTGTAATGGTAAATACCTTTTTATCCTAATCACAATTATACTTGTCAAGATTACTAAAGCAGTCTCCCTAGTGATCTGTGTGGTTTTACTTTTTATGCCTATAATCCATTATCTATGCTTTAATCTTACTGGCATTTTAAGATGCCAGTTCATTCATGTCATGCTTCAGCTAAAATTCTCAGTGATATCTCCATATGAGCTAATATTACTTAGAAGATCTTCTGTTATGTGGAAAATGGTCTTGGAGTTGCAAACCAAGTTGTCCAGTCGCATGTCACTATTATTGAGGCTATATTCTTTAAAGGGATATCAGGTGTCATATCATAAGGGATATAAAAACTCCTTTGTAACAGGCCTACCTTAAGTAAAATTGTGGTGGGTTAGCAGTAAAATTTTCCAACAAACTAAAAAGTAGCTAAGTATGGATAAGGAATTCAATATCCCAATATGTTCAGATTAGCCAAATTTTCACGTTCTTCAACTCCCACATAATATAGTGTTTTTTCCTAAAGAAAACAAAGAAGGGTTAAGTGGAACCAATTCATATATAAATTAAATGGGAAAATTGTACCACTTACTAATAAAGTACTTGAAAGAAAAATTTGCTTAGATCCTCTAGAATAATTATGGCTTATAGGCATAAATAGAAAGGTGGCATTAAATAATAATGGGAAGGAAGGAAGGAAGGAGAGAGAGGGAGAGAGAAAGAAAAAGGAAGGAGAGAAAGGAAGATGGAGTAAGGTAGAGAGAATGGGTAGAGAAAGAGTTGTTATATGTCAGTGTACTTTCACTACAAGAAAGTGAACCACAAATTTAAGCACTACTCCAAACTACTAATGAATTTAAAGCTCATTTTCTTTCCAATTAAATTGAAAATGATAAATTAGTCCCACCATATTTGCAACGAACTGCTATCAATGATTTTCCACTGTAGTCAGGGATGTATCCCTGTTCTCATCTTGTTAGAGTCTCTGGTTGACTCCTATGCTTGAAGGATTTTGACTATTACTCCATCTCATCCTCGCAGGTCTAATCTCGTCACGTCTCCTGGTGGGCCACTATATTCATAGCCAGAATTCTAGTATTTCATGGCCATGACTACCATCCTTTTGGGACGAGGGGACATGTGTACATGCAACAACTGCTGCATGCTTACTTTACTGCTGCCTTTAATTGATGTTTGAAGGGGAACACATGCTAGGTATTAATTTTAGGATTAAGTCTTTACAAATAACCATCAATTATTTAATATGCACAAATAACATGCTTTTCAACCAAACTAAAGAGAAAAACTTAGATGAGAACCCTTTTCTCTTTAGGGTGGAAAGTCTCCTTTAGAGTCATCACATTTTAGCATTCAGAGTTATGTCTGAAGTCATACAGTTCAACCCTTTTAATTTGATAACAAAGAAATTTTCCAGAGGACACTCGCATGAAATTTCAGTTATAAATGAGAACCCCGTCTCACAGAGGACATAAAATGTGTTTATATCCTTTATATGCCTTGTTTTATATACCTCACATTCTGCCTTGACTACTAAACTCAAGGGTGAGTTTGGTTTTCAAGACCTTTAGGTCACATTTTAAGAATGACTGAGCATATAATGTTTACCAAAATTGTATATTTAGAGTAACTCACAGTATTAAATATAGAGCATATCTAATAAAAGAGAATGAAAACTTATAAAACTAATTATTACATAAGGTTTAATTGTAATGTTATATGTGAGGCATTGTGGATCAAAAGAGTGAATTATAAGTGACTAATAACCATTTCCTTTATTTATATTATTCACATACTTTTGAGTTATAAAGATAATGTATTGATTTATAAAACTATTTAATAATTGGTAGTTTAGTCATTGAGAGGCACCACATGTATAATTTTTACATAATGATTATATTTTCTAAGCTCACATAGTAATTCCAATAAGATTGTTTTAATTTCATATAAATCTTGGAATTAGCCTTGGCACATACCAAATGCCTTATTGTAGTTGAGGCAAAAGGTGAGAGTCTACAATGGTTAGCAATTTTCAATATTTCAGGTACGAATTATATTAGGTAGATGGATATTTAGAGACAACGTTTACTAGGCTGTTTAGGTGTGGCCATGTTACTGAGTTCTTGTGTACAATATCTTGATCACATGGTCATAAAAATAAAATATGTCAGTTATCCTAGCAAATGTAACTGGATAAAATTACCTAGTAAAAGATGTAAAACATATTAGATTATAAAAATTCAGTTAATGCTGGTTAAAAGAGGCACACCTAAATATTACTCAATGTCTAACTTTCAAATAAGTAAATGAAAAAATTGGAAAAGCACAGCAAAACAAAAAACACACCATCAGTTATATGGAACAAAAGAAAAATGGGGAAAGATAATCAGAAACATGGAAAATCCATGAAAAGAAAGAGAAAATGAAATACAGTGGTTTACTAATACACAAAAGTTGAAAATTTTGTGTTTAGAAAATCTATACAGTTAATTTATAAAAATCTAGTTATAGTTTGACTAAAAAGAAAACATGAAGCATTGAAACATAAAAACATTTAAAGTAAATATATGAAAAATATATATACATTTGACAAATGAATATAGATGTTGTTATATTGATATTAGAAATAATTGATTTTCACTCAAAAAGCATTACCAAAAATGAAAGTCAATTAAAAATGATTACAAAATGTTTCATTCAATGGGAAATTATATAATTTTATATAAATGAAGCTATTATCATCTTAAAATCTATAAAACAAGCATTGAATTATAAAGAGAATGGCCTGCTTTATAGATCTATAGACTCATGAACAGTGACTAATGGATTCATTGATTGGTCCAAGACTTGGGAAGATTTAGAGATAAGATTAAAGGCAAAAAAGTCTGGGGTAGAATTATGTAGATAAACATTTTTTCCATTTGCATAGATTATGAAGCTCTTCATATTCCACTGCAAATTTCTCTAGAAATCAAGTGTTGTAGACAAATACCTCAATAATAAGGTGTTCTGGATGAACAGTCCTGTGTATGCCACTGTCTTTTTCCAGACTTTCCAGAATTTGATCATAAAACTCATGTACAGAGAAGCAATGAAGAATGGGATGGAAACTATACATGAATGCACAGCATGGAATTCACCTTACCAAGCCTCATCAACCTACTTCAGCTGTTTCTATGCTCAGTGTTAGAAGATATTTCTCCACCTCATTCTCAATGTGACACCACTCCCTAGGGTTCTAGCCATCCAGAGGGTAGAAGATTGCATTGGTCACCTTCCATCCTAGAGGATGCATCCATTTTCTCCATAGAAGTAGTTATAATTTCTAAATACAAAATACCCTCCCAGGCCCTGCTCTTTGTAGTATTTTTGCCAACATATGGAACCATGGGCATGAAGTCATAGTAAAAATCGTGGTATTGATGTCAACATTGTATATGACTAAGAAACATAATTATAGCCACGGAAATGCAACAAAGTCTAATATCGATGCAATTTGCTGATTTTATCATGTGTCCTATTAGTTAATGAAAACTTTTTATGGTTTTAGCTGAGACAATGTCCTATGTATTGTTAATGCTCTTGTGCAGAAATTGGGGAAAACGGAAGAGGTTAGGAACAGCTGGGATAGAAAAAGGAAGAATGGGACATGCTCACTAGTTAGTGGTCTTGTGGAAGTCTCGGCTTTCCGTTTACACTAAAATAGAGAAATGGGAAATATGAGAACAGGACAGAGGGGTGGTGGTCTCATCAAAAAAATTGTGGTGGAAATGAACAGGATACTCCACTCAGAACATTGTTGAACTTAGAAGGATCTATTTCCTCTTTTTCTTCTTTTCTGTTTTCCCACATTTTCTACAAAAAAATAGACAACATTTGGTGACTAAGAATATAGCAGATGCTGCACAGGCCATCAGAAACCCAATCACATCCAAAGAGTGGTACTGGAACCAGGTGAGGTCGTGGATGGCTGGGCGCAGGTGCTTGGCTCCTTTGTGGCGCATGACAAACTCGATCCAGAAGACTGCTCGATCCAGGGGCTTCACAGGTTGATCATGGTGAATCCTTGATAATTTCATTATGTTCTCTTTATAACTGGAAGGCAAGCACAAAGACAATTAATGAAGTTTGGGTTTTGTTAGTTATATGATACATGTTATAAAAATTAAACAATGTAAGGGCCCTAGAAACTACTGTTATATTAACTCTGTTCTTTTTATTTGATTTTAATAGGTGTAGTAGGGAGACTGAAAAAGAAATATGTTCTTAACAGAATGTGGTTAAATGAGGACATAGGAAAAATCAGAATAAACCGGTTATTAATTCAGGACTAATTTTACCATGTAGGACATGTGACATTGTTTGAACTGTACTTTCTAGAAGATTTCCAAGACCAGGATGGTGAATGATTCGATTGGGAAAATGTCCAGTATTAGGTTCGCAAGCATGGTCTCAAACATTTTCTTGTGTGGGGCCCAACACAACCAATGGTAGAAAACAGTAGTACTTACGAAGGATCATTAATGACTGTTCTCAAGGCGCTGAGCATATCTGCACTGGTCATGGTGTTCATGTTCAACTCCACAGCTGCTCCTTTGGCCTTCATGTGAGCAATGTTATCATGCTGATCGCCAAATATGGGGACTCCCACCATAGGGACTCCATGATAAATAGCTTCATAGATCCCATTTATTCCACCATGAGTAAGAAAAGCTTTGGTTTTGGGGTGACCTAGTTTGGGAATAGAATGTGAAGCAGGTGAAAATGTCATTATAGCACATTAACAGAATTTTAGAGAAGGGGAAGCTCTATGGGATACGTTACTGAGGAAGGCAGTATTTTCTACTGAAGCTGAGCATATGTGGCTGCTACCACGGAAAATTGCTCTCCCAAAAAAAGGAGGCACTGATTCCCACTATGTTGCCTGAAATTCTTACGTGAATCATAGCAAATATGAATCTATAAATGTAATGGTCAAATCTTTAATTCTATGCTTTAAAACTGGAGGTAAATGAGAGACATTTACAGTTTTTAAATATTTGTTGACATTAGTTATATTAACATTAACATTAAAGAATTAATCAACTTGTCCATTAACTTCTACACAGTGTTACCAAGTCTTACCAAGAAGATCATTCTGGGGTAGCCAGTGATAGAGCCGAGTATTGGCTCCTAATGTGGCTGGTTTCTTTCCTGTGTATCTCCATAAAACCTGTGGAAGACAATGTATATATTTCGCAAGTAAAACTACAAGATAATGACATTTTCAGATTGTAGAATTATTTGTAAATCATGCATCTACCCTACTCTAGGTGATGTTTGAAAAGGGAGTATGTAGATATGCTTTGTAAACACTGGAAGAAATGGTGGGACTGTTTAAAACCACCATTTTTAAATAGCTTGTGGTAGTTGCCTATTAAGTCTAGTATTATTTTGTATATTATCATTTAAAGGCTTCTGGGAATGAGATCATAAGTAAAAAAATTGAAAATTAAGCAGTACTGGCCTATTCTTTTAGAATGCGGATGTTAAAATTTTTATGACAACATTACTTCTGTATAAATGTATGTCCCTGGCCATCATAACTCTATGTTCAAATTAGTGTTTCTAACAAATACTATTGCTTTAAATTTCATCAACTAGTTTACTTTAATCATTGGTTTTCCTTCCATCCTTCTTTTTTCTTTCTACCTTGTTTTTTCTCTCACATCTTTTTTCTTTTTCTTTTTCTTCAAAGTAAGAATGAGGCAGTACATTTGTTTTTGTTCCACTGTCCAATGAAGTATCTTGTTTGCTTTGTTTTTGTAATTTGCATATTTGTTTTATATAGAATTTTATGTAGTTTCACTGAATTTGACAAATGTAAAATTAAAAGGACTCTTGAATATTTAACAAATAGCAATATATAAAGAGTGGAAATTCTGAAATGTGGCCATAACATAAAAAATTAATTGAATATCTTAAGTTAGAACATGCAAATTGGTAGACTATAATATTAAAATATCTATGGCCTTTTAATTAGAAAACACTAACTGAAAAGACTAAGACTAAGAGAATCTAGGCTTCTACTTCTGTATTCTGCGCTAATGGATCAAGTCCTAATACAACCAAAGATGTGGTGGATATTCTTGAGCATGTTTCATCGGTATCTTTGTCATTTCAGTTTTCTCTTCTCCTGGTCCTTAGAGTAATTAGACTTCAGAACTATTTTGGCAGTAGTCAAAACAGGCCTTAATACTTCAAGTACTGGAAATTGAGCAATGGACTTAATGCTTTTATCTCTATTTTATTAAAAATAAATGATTCCAAAGAGATTTGTTTCCATAGTAACAGCAAAATTCAGGATACAAGGTTCAAATGTGCCAAAACTCACTATTGCAATGGTCTACAAATTTTTACTTAATATCAGTACCTGATATATTAACTGTAAAATGAGATTCAACCTGGAAAGATACCATTAGCCCCACTCTTTCTCCAACTGGTAAATAGCTGCCCAGAAGGACCAAAGGTTGTACTCACCTTCTGTGGAATCTGGGCTAGGGCTGAGGCAATAAGATTGGCCTTCTCTTCTGGGAGATTTTGGAGGGTTGCACCCAGAGAAAATACCACAATACCATCTTTGCCTGAGTTCTGGACAAATTCTTCTATTTCCTGGAGAGAAAAAAATCCTGGTTTATAAAGGTACAGCATCCCAGGGAATAAAATAAAATTCACTTACACTTCTAACATGAAGCTTCTAGGGGATTGCCAGAGGCATGGTTAGACTGTTTTTATCTTCTTTGACACCTAGAACCACCTAGTCTTTTTAAGAGGAAGGATGTATTTAAAACTTTTGTCTTAAATATGTAATCATTGAGTAGTGAATAGCCATGGAATCAAACCATTATACAAAAGGATTAGATGATAAGAATACACTGCTTTTCATGGTTGATGGACAGTGTTACCAGGTTTAATTTTATTAAAGTGGTTAGTGATATCAGACACATGGCAGTGTGAGGGGTACCCCTTGATCTCACCCCTTGAAGTTACAACAAGTTGAAAAACTATACTTCAACAAAGGATTTTCTGAACAATACAGAAACACATCTGAGAGATCTGTACATAGAAACATCTGAAAGTGGTCATATGGGGTGAACATGGGAGGAGCAAAGGGAAAAGAACAGAGATGGGTGTGCAAATGTAGCCTAGAGCTCACTGCTGTGGACACAGCTCATAGCTCACTGTGGATCCCGGGTGAGAGGAGGATTCAGTCTGCAGATGCACTCTCTAGGCTCCTGAACTTTCCTGTCCCAGTGGTCAGCATGTAATACTGCTGAACCCAGCTATTGGGGCAGAGACCCAATGTCAGAGGGGTAGTAGATTGGGGTAGGGGTTATCACTTTGTGAGGGGTTTGAATGTCTATTGCATTGCTTTGTCCACCTGATACTAATAAAAAAATAAAAAAACATTTAAAAAAACATACAATGGAGAAAAGATCGTCTTCAATAAATGGTTCTGGGAAAATTGCAAAGTTAAGTGCAAAGGAATGAAATGAGATTGCTATCTATCGCCATATACTCGAATTCTCTCAAAATGGATCAAAGACGTAAACATAAGACCTAAAACAATAAATTGCATAGAAGAAAGCATAGGTACCAAACTTATGGACATTGGGTTCATAGAGAATTTTAGGAATTTGACCTCAAAGGCAAGGAAAGTAAAAGCAAAACTAAATGAATGGGGTTGTATCAAACTAAAAAGCTTCTGCACAGCAAAAGAAACCAACAAAGCAAAGAGGCAGGCAGCCAACCAAATGGGAGAAGATATTTGCAAACAACACCTCCAATAAGGGGCTAATATCCAAAATATATAAAGAATTCCTGTAACTCAACACCAGAAATCAAACAATCCAACTAAAACATGGGCAGAGTACCTGAACAGACAATTCTCCCAAGAAGACATACTACCAGCCAACAGATATATGAAAAAATGCCCAACTTCACTAGCTGTTAGGGAAATGCAAATCAAAACCACAATGAGATACCACCTCACACCTGTTAGAATGGCTACTATCAACAAGCCAAGTAATAACAAATGTGGGAGAGTCTGTGAAGAAAAGGAAACCTCATGCACTGCTGGTGGGAATGTAAATTTGTACAGCCACTATGGAAGCTGTATGGAAGTTCCTCAAAAATTAAGAACAGAATTACAATGTGATCCAGCAATCCCTCTTCTGGGCATCTACCCCAAAACTCTGAAAACATTTATTTGTAAAGATATATTTACCCCTGTGTTCAACATTGCAGCATTATTCACAGTTGCTAAGACATGTAAACAACCAAAGTGTCCTTTGATAGATGATTGGACAGAGATAATGTGATATATGAATATTCCCCGGCCATTAAGAAAAATGAAATACTGCCATTTGTGATAATATGGATGGATCTTGAGATTATCATCTAAGTGAAATAAGTCATAAAATGTTGAGAACCATATGCTTTCATTCATATGTGGCATAGAAAACTAAAAGCAACAAATGAACAAGAAAAACAAAAAAATCAAATAGACAACAGTTTAGTGGTTACCAGAGGGTAAGGGGGGAGGAGAAAGACACAAGAGGGTAAAAGTGGTCAAATATATGGTGTTGGAAGTAGAACTGACTTTGGGTAGTGAGTACATAATGCAACATATAGATGATGTATTATGGAATTGTACATTTGCAACCTATTTAATTTGACTAACTAAAGTCACTCCAATAAATTTAATAAAAATATTTTTTAAAAATTCAAAAATATTAACCAGAAGAAAACAAAACAAAACTGAATGGTTTGGAAACTCATGAAAATATTCCTGAAAAGAAAGCCCCTAAGTGGGTGTGAATTACGCATCTAACAGTTTACATCAAAGAAATCATCATTGTGTCAATTTGCCTATTTTTTATAGCTTTTGTGGTAATTTTCTCGTGTTTAATTCTTCCCTTATTAAGAGAGCTAAGCAGCTATTTGTTAGAATTGTGATACATAGTAATGTGTTGTAAAAGAAGATAACATATTTAAACTACTCCATAATCATAAATTATTTTTAGGAGACAATGATTGCCTATCTTCCTGATGTATAAAACTTCAGTCTCAGTGGGTACAAGCTACAGGTTCTTATTTGAACCTTAGCATACAATTGATATGTAGTTACTTCTGTAAATTAAACCCCCTGCTTCACCATTTACAGTTGTGCAAGTTGGCCATAGGAAACTCTGGGGTTGGGTGCAGTCAGATCGTATTCTATGAGAATGGCATCCAGTAGACATTTGTCATGCATTTCTTGTGAAATCTTTATGGCAGTTCTGGAATCACTATGTTCCCCAATTAAAGGATGTTAAATGATTAGAGAAGAGATGATGTCAAAGTGGAAAGTAACCTTGCATTTTCAGCTTCATTAATGTTAGAACATATTTGGAATCACACAAATTATTGTGTTTTTATAGTTATTCATCATCCCAAACAGATGGAATCTGATTACAATTTAGAATATATATATATATATATATATTTATGTTTTATATGTGTGTAAAAGTGTATATATACACATGTGCATGAGTGTATGCATATAAATGTTTTAGATGTAATATACTATATATATATATATATATATATATATATATATATATATGTATATACACATGAACACACTGAATTCATTGGCTTTTTGATTGGAGGACCTATAATTGCTATTTTTCTCCTTAGGCATAAAATTTTTATGTTATTTTATCTTTATATTTTATTAAATTTATTGTGGTAACACTGATTAATAACATTACACACATATCAGGTGTATAAGATTATAAATTCGACATCTGTGAGCTTTATTGCATGTCCCCACGTGAAGTCTAGTTTTCTTTCTTTACCATATATTTGACCCCCTTTACTCACTTTAATGCTCCTTCCACTCTCTGTTTCCTCGGTGTTCATATATATGAGTTTTATTTTCTTAGTTTGTTACTTTTTTTAATATTCTACATAAGAGCGAAATGCTTTTTTGTCCTTTTCCATCTGACTTACTATTTAGCAAACACTCAAGGTCTATGTTGTTAGAAATGGAAAATTTCATGTTTTTATGGCTGAAAGTATTTATATATATATATATATATATATATATATATATATATATATATATATATATTCAGTCATCTTCTTTATCCAATCATCTGTCAATGTGAACACTTAGTTTGTTTCCATGTCTTGGTTTTTGAAGTTAATACTACAGTGAACAAAGGGGTACATATATCTTTATGAATAAGCATTTTCATATTTTCTGGGTAAACATGGTAGAAGATTAGTTGGTTCAATGGTAGTTATATTGTTAATTTTCTAAGAAACCTCATACTGATTTGTATAGTGGCTGCACTAATTTATATTCCCATCAACAGTGTACGTATGTTTCCTTTTCCTCACATTTGTTTGGAGGACAAACAAAAGATGTTTCTTTTTAATAATGGCCACTCTAATGGGTGTGAGTTGGTATCTCATGGTTTTTATTTGCATTTCCCCAATAACTAGTGATGTTGAATATCTTTACATATGTCTGTTGGCCATCTGTCTTCCTTGGAAAAGTGTCTGTTCAGATCCACTGCCCATTTTTAAATAGGACTATTTGGGGGTTTTGTTGTTGTATAGTTGTGTGAGTTCTTTATATATTTTGGTATCATTTGAATATCTTCTCTCATTCTGTTGGTTGCCTATTTGTTTTGTTGATGGTTTCTTTTGCTGTACAGAAGCTTTTTAGTTTGATGTTTCATTTTTTTATTTTTGCTTTTGCTTGCCTTGCCTTCTAGGTCAAGTTCACAAAATCCCCTCTGAGGCTAAATCCATAAGTTTAGTGCCTATGTTTTCTTCTATATAATTCATTGTTTCAGGTATTACATGCAAGTTGTTAATCCATTTTGAATTAATGTTTATGTACTATGTAAGATACTAATCTAGTTTTATTCTTTTGGATGAGGCTGTTCGATTTTTTCAACATCATTTATTGAAACGACTTCATTCTCCATTGTGTATTCTTGGCTCCTTTGTTGAAAAGTAGTTGCTTATTTTAAGTAGATTTATTTGTGGGTTCTAAATTCTGTTCCATTGGTCTGTCTGTTTTTCTGCCAAAACCATGCTGTTTTGATTACTGTAGCACTGTAGTATGGTTTCAAGTTAGGGAGTGTATACCTCCAGCTCTGTTCTTTTTATTTCAGGATTGCTTTTCCAATTCAGTGTCTTTCTTGGTTCTATATAAAATTTAGGATTTTAAAATTCCATTTCTATGAAAAATGTCATTAGGATTGTGATAGGGATTGCACTGAATCTGTTTTTTTGGGCTTTGGTTTTTGGGGTTTTTTTAGGTAATATAAACATTTTAACAATGCTAATTCTTCCAATCCATGAAGATGAAATATCTGCATTTTTTCTCTTTTTTTCAGTTTAGCTCAACAGTGCCTTATAATTTTCAATATACAGTTTCTTCACCTCCTATTTTAAGTTTATTCCTAGGTATTTTATTTATTTTGTTCAGATTGTAAATGGGGTTGTTTTCTTTATTTCCCTTTAAGATATTTTGTTATTAGTATATACAAATGCAACATATTTTTGTATATTGATTTGTATCTTGCAACTTTAATTGTTTCTAATATCTT